GTTTTAGCTTGGTTTACACATTCAATAAAAAAATTGTGAATGAAGGACAGACACATATGTGGCTGTATTTAGACTTTGTTTAGTTTACATACATAAGACATTGTAATGGAATTTTCATTTAACCCAATAGCAAATGTATGGAGGTTTAAAAATGCTAAATTATTAACTTAACTCAAAAGTATTCTGTTACTAGTGTGATAATTGCAGCTACCAGTGGTGGCCTGAATCTTTTTTACACCATTTTGTATTGATTTGATAATGTATCTGCATGGACGTTGTAAATAGGCTTTATACAACTGGGTTCTATAAAAACTAATTTGACATATGCATAAGTTGTTGAGTCACTTCAGTTTTCTTGTTTACTTGTTTTTGGCAGATGAGTTCTTCAGTCATCCTTTTCTCGAGGCAAGCTCATCTATAAAGAAGAGTAAGTGTAAATAAGTGTTGGATATCTTGGGTTGAATGAGACTGAAAAATTGATGTTATTGAGAATTCATTTTCTTCTTGCATTTCCTTGTATTGTATGGTTTAAAACTTAATCAATTTATTTATTAAAATGGCTATAGGTGATAATATTATATAGATTTTCAACCTTCTACAACTGAAATGTTAAGTAGATTCTGTATTTTGTAATATTTTTTGTAACAATATCCAGTGTTTTCCATTAATAGTGGAGACAGTGTTGGCCTCATTGAATTATTATTTGCTGCATTTATACTCACAATTGAGAATATGAGATTCAGTTATTCAGAATATATGAGAAACACTGATAACACTCTTCACAATGTATTAAAGTAACAGGCCTAACAGTTAGCTATATTATAATGGTACTTGTGTTCATTCTTTCAGCAACCCCCACAGTCACCATGACCTGCTTCCCCAGCTCTGCCTCGGCCAGCTCCTGTAGCAGCTCCTCCACCTCTCACCTGGCCTCACCTCCGGTTTGTTTACATCACCGCACTGTCTTTTCACCTTTCTAACATCACAGCACATACTCACTTGGGTCCTTCTGTCTTGTGTGGTCTTTGCAGCAGTCCCTCGCAGATGGACAGCAGGTGCGCCCCAAAGCTCTGGCCTCTCCCACACAAGAGGCCACCGGGTTCCTCCTCAAAGACTCTTCAGGAGGAGCGGCCAGCAGCAAGAACTCCTCCTCCTGCGACACAGACGACTTTGTGATGGTTCCGGCTCACTTTAACAGTAAGTAAGAGTTTATTTAGGTAGGTCTGAACTCAACAAAAAAATCAATAAAAAAATAACTGTCTTCTGGGGCAATCTTTATACTTTATACTATACTTTGTACTTCTTTTATGTTTTTTGCAGAGTTACTCTCTCATGTTGGGATTTGTTCAGTTTATACCAACACATAATTTTTACTGTTGTGGCCAATAACCATTATTTCCCTATGGCAACTTTCAATATTTTATAACAATATCTAATGCTTTCTATAGTAAGACTACAAACCAGGAGGATACAGCTGGTTCACTGTTAGAATATTAGTTGCTGTTAACATGTGAAACTCCCATAAACTTGTGGTGAATAATTAGGATGCTAGGAATGCATTAAGCTAAGAGGAATAACTTAGTAAAATAACAATAAAAAAATTTGCATTAATATGGAGCCTACAAATGTTGTGCTGAATAGAGAATTCAGATTTTCTGCCAAGAGAATGCTGCTGTTATTGAATGTATTTGCCTTTTAGTCAATTTGTGGTTAGGAACCTGTGGTTTTATTATGCAGAGATTGTGATATAAATCCTGGCTCATGCCCTTTTCCATCTGTTTATTTCTCTTCCCATTGCAGCAGGTGAGCTCACTTGTGAGAGCAAAGTGCTTCAGGACAGCCTCATGAACAGCGGGTAATAATCACTTTACAGAATGCCATAACCTTTAGCGAAGCAATTTGATAAGTGTCTGCTATAATGAATGGGTAGTCTTTCCTTGCAGCATAATAAAAGGTTTGTCTTGTGGTCTTGTGTCTGGTTCAGCTCCCTCCTGGCCTCTGCGGGACTGTGTAGCAAAACGCCACCACACTCACCGTCATAGCGGCTCTCCAAGTCCCATCAGGTATGAGCAGTGAAAACAGATTCATTTGTTAACATGTTAAAGAGGGGGTGTTATGCAAAGTTGACTTTTTGGAGCTTCTTTCTACCATGTTATAATGTTGTTCCCTCATCAAAAACATGACTGAAGTGTTTTTATCACTTCCTTAATGTTAGCAGTTTGATCCTATCCAAAGCTCAGTTCACATGCCTACATTAGCCATGCTCCCGCACATTACAGCTTCACAAACCTCATCCCATGTGCAGTAATTTCACTAGAGAGATGCATTCTGATTGTGTTGTGATAGCGCTCTGAAGGGGGAGTGACGCAGACTGCAAAAGGAAAGGGGGTGGGGGGCTCTGACTGAAACCCAAAACTGAAACTAAACATATTAATACATTGTATAAAGCAATTTCAAAACAACAAAAAAGTGCCATGATAATCTAAATATGTTTTATTAGCAGATAATACCTCTATTTAAAGTGATTCAAATACAGTTCAGATTTGTCTAGTTTTCAGATTTAAACTGGCCATGTAAATGTAGCCATTGTTTGAATAATGTTCAGCAGATCTTTTCACAACACAGCTTGCAAGTCTTTCACAAGTTTCAAAGCACACAAACTCTATCAGCCCATCTTCTGTCTCATCTGACAGTATTGGCACTGTCTGTTCCTTTGGTCGTTCTGGCAGGCCCAGTGACTTCTTGGGGAGTAACTATGGAAACCATGGTCATTCGCTGCCTATCCCAGTCCCCACTCAGGTCCACAACTACCAGCGCTTGGAACAGAACCTCCAGTGTCCTCGACAAGATGGCTCACCACGGTTAGTGATACAGACTAAACATTATCTTAGAAAGTTTGGTTTTAAAGTGCCCTACTGTTTTCTCTTTCTGACTGGACAGATGGCAAAACAAAACAAAAGTATATCTAACATCATATATAAATGAATAAATCAGAACCACCTCTTAGGGCTAAACAAGATAATTGATTTAACTAACAGAAAGTTAGAAAATCCAACAGTGAAACAGACATTAGTCAATAACAGACAAGCAGATGAACCAACAATCACAGAAAACAAGCAAATGAATAAATGTCCCAGAACATCCCCTGTCCGCCTTCTTGGCATATCTGGGGCACAGTTGAATAATTGGACTTTTTAGGATAATTACTATATCAAATTATTCTTCAGTAAATTACAAAATAAATAATATTTTTAGGGGTTAATATTTATCATATGTACTTTTTATTGCACTAGCAGTGACTTCTTTCTTAGTTTTTTGTTGTGTATTATTAACATTTAATCTGTGTTCATTCTTTCACTGAGTCAGTATTTTGAGTACGGTTGACCATTCTAAAGATATACTAGTTTTAAATAATTGATTGCTATGGGAGCAGTTCTAACTTTTCATCTTTCTGAAACCCATGGATATAAGGCCAAATGTTTGTTGTTTGTATAAATAGCTTATGTTTTATGCGTACGTCCTTTTGAGAAATAGTTTTTATGCTTTATGTTGAAAATATCAGTGGGATATTGTGGTCTTCTATGTTTTTATATATTACAGTATTTCATTAAACATTATATTGTACTTCAAAATGTATTATTGGCATAAGCCTATAAACAATATTGATGTAACATATTATTTTCTCTCCCTCTCCTAATGTCCCCTCAGAACGTCGACCCCGGTGCGTCGCTGCAGCAGTAACAGCTCACTGGGCTACGGTCGTCAGGGACCTTCACCCCCCTACGGTCAGGGAGTGGTGCCCACCAACCGCCGCCTCTCTCTGGGTGGTGCGAGACCCTTCCACCTCTCTCCACAAGGTACCTCATAAGGAAAGCCCCAATTACTCTAATTCCCTCTTTGGCACCTTTTTTTCTGAAATTATGAAAACACATTACATAAATCCTTAAATCTGATTGTTTTGCTTAACTCATTTGGCAAGTAAAATCCATGTTTTATTGGATTTGAATTATTTTGTTGTATTTCAAATAAATTGCAATAAATTGCACCCTGCATAATGTTGGGAATAAAGGAAAATCCAAGAATTAATATAACTTGTCACATATGTCACTATGTAACTTTTCTGTTGTGAGATCTGCTATGTGCATTCCAGGCAAACCAATGGCATCTCTATGGAAACAAGCAGTAACACAGTGCACCTTTAAGATCCTTGAAATACTCACAATGCTTAGACTCATCAAGAAAATATAAGCTCAGAAATGTACAAAGTATTTTAGTTTAAATATTTTAGTTTAAGGCATTATTTTTGCTAGTTCTGAAATGCCACGAACTGTCTAAATAAAGTTATCACTGTCAAGAATCTCAATTCAACCAACAACATTTCGGAATTGAATCAGGAAGCAAAGACTGGCCTCACACTGAAAACTGTCTCCCCTGCTGCGTAGTATTTTGATTCATGTCTACTACTTAAAAAGGGCTTTTGTTTAGCTGCCGCACAAGTTCAAATGTTCTTGTGACTGTGTGGAGCAAATGTACTGACCTCCCACGCACTCATGCGCACACACACACACACACACAGACTCACACACACACTCTTCTCACCACCTGTTGCTCATGTCTCCTCTCCGGTTCACTTTCTGCACAGCTCCTTGTATAATCATGCCATCATATAGTCTTTTGTCTAAGCAGTATCTAAGCAACTCCATACATTTTTCAATAATCTTTTCTTTGTTGAAATACTTTTGTATCTTCAAACACTGAAGGCCCTGTAAGCAACGTTTTTTATGTATTTGAACAACATTTGTCTTGCCTCAGCACAGATAGATTGTATAAGCACTTCTTGAGGTGATAATAAGTCAGTTTTGGAGTGTCTGCATCTAATTTTTAAGCGTTTTATTGTATAGACCATCAGGAAGTACAGTGTTAGCATTACCCTTATAACAACTCTGATCTCTGAAAATTGTGAAAAGCACTCATCGCAGTGAATATTTAGGATGCTCTGAATGCTTAAGTGAGAAATAACTTTGGACCAGTGTGAAGCCTTTAAGATAAACTAGTTTTGTTTTTACATTTTAAAACAGGAATCAGCTCTTTCTAATATTATACTTTTCCCCCAGCAGCCGCCCCTCCTCCCCCTCACACTGAACTCCGACTAACTGCTCACCAGCAAACAGGACTGGGGTCACGGCTCCACAGCGCGCCCTGTCTGCTGGAGTGCGCCAGTGCAGGCGGCAGACAGAAGATCCGCAAGCAGCACTCTGACCCAGTAGCAGTCCCCAGTTCAGGCTTGATGAATGTGAGACCACTGCATTCCTCCCCCAGGCTCAGCGAACTAATGCAGCGCAGCCCTCTACCCACCATACTGGGCTCTCCCTCCAGGGTAAGTACAGTGATTTCTGTGAGAAAATTGTGAAATTAGTCAAGCAGAAAGTGTTTTGTAACCTCTGATTAAGCATTTTTGGTGTTTGCTGTAGCCTATGGGAAGCAAAGATATTTAAACTTGGAACATTGCAGTTCAGGGTTTAATCTGTTTTAATGACCTGTTTGTGACCCTAATTGTGATTGACTTGTCTAATAAAAGGGGTTGTGGGCGTAACACAGAAACGAAATGCAATTTGTGATGCAAAAAAAAAAGCCTTTGATGGAAAATATGCTGCAAATTTGTACTTAAGTTAAAAATAGAATTAAATTAAACATTTAAAATACAATGACTGCTCAGAGTTGCACTAAAATAAAAAGTACACACACAAAAAAACCCTCAAAGTTCTAGGTATTTTTTACAATAATTTTAGTAGAATTTTAGACCACTATTTTATACTAAACATGATAAATTAAACTCTGTTAATTAAATTTTAAACCATCATTTGCTTATTCTGGGCTGTAGCCAGCTAGAGCAGGTGAGCAGTGGCTCAATAATTGCTTTTAAGTAAGATGCAACTACATGGCTACAATTTTACTAAATTACATGTACACTTTACAGAAAATCTATTTAAAAAATGACTAGCTCAAAACATATTTAGTTACTTTCAACCATAATCTACTTACACATGTGACTGAATATGATTCTTGTTAAGACTACAACAGGCAGAAGAAGGTGACAAACATGAAATTACAATAACCTATCTTCCTAACCTCCTTCCAACCTATCATTTTCTCTTTCCCTCAGGCGATCCCTCCATTCGAGTTCCCCAAACCCACCAGCTCCCCGAACCTCATGACCTTCCTGACGCAGGGTTTGGTGATAGGGTCTCCTTCCAACAGGACTGCCCCACCAGAACCACAACACACTCACTGCATCCACCGAGCCAATGACAACACCCAAGGCTTCGCAAGGTATTGATATTTACGTTTGATTTTCTCACCGCTGATAAACACAAGAACAATACAAAAGTACATGAACTTTGTTTTCCAGGTCTCAGAGCGCTGGTCGGCTGTCAGACATGCTGCTAATGGCTGCTTTTGGCCCTAACGCTCCTGTGGCGGAGAGGGGCAGCACAGAGAACCTCACGTCTGAAAAAGCCATTGACATTATAAGTGAGTATTGTTGCATTGTCACTTGGACAACTTTTACTTCAGTTGTCCTAGACTTTTGTGGCTGTAGATTGTGTTATGTTACTCTGACAAGTAAGTGACAGCATTATCTTCTTTCATAGCTCCCCCTAGTGGCACTAGTGGCTTTGCTCCCAGCTCGGGCAGCCCCGCACAGGTGGTCTTCACTGTGGGATCTCCTCCCGCTGGCAGCACCCCTCCTCAGTCTTCCCGTCAGAGGAAATACTCAGGTAATTTTAACAGTGAATCTAAACGTCCACTCCACACTGACAGGTTGCAGACATGTTCTTTTTGTTTTGTATAAAAAGTATCGTTCAACATTATTAACATCTGTTGCAGCTATGTTTTATAGATTGTGTCATGAACTTTTAATAAGCCTGTTTGTTATGAAAAGATGGCTAACAAGACGCTAACATTTTTGTGCATGTGGGTCAGTGGACAGTGCTGATAATAATTTTGCAGCTGTATATAATATTAGAAGATTTAATTAACACCATAAACTGAAATAATCTACATGTAAAAATAATTAGGTAGTCCATAGCACAAATTAAAATTAGTTGTTATGTAAGGTTTTGTTTTGATGAAAGTTAGCATTAACTAGGGAGAAAAACACAACTTTGTAAACACAGAAGTGTCCTCAAGTAAAGTTTTCACCTCATTTGTAAAGTGTTTACCCTGTTCTCAGTGACATCCACCTGCAGCACTCTGTCCTCTGTTGGTTTTTATTTATTTTAGCGCAACTCAGGAAAAACGCTTAGAGATATAATTAGAGCAGAAATGGTTATATATTCTGCTCAACTAACTGGAACTAGCCAGGTGGTGTTGTGCACTGCCATATGCAAGTGACAAATTTTGTAGCTAACACTTCCACAGTCACCTAAACCAGACTTTGTTCTACTTGTCAGGCTCGTTGACTTCAGTCAGCTCTGGGGGCTCTCTGACCAGTCGGTACCCTCCCACAGTGGACGAGGCACCCTCCAGCCCACGCTTCAGCTTCACTGACCCCATCTCTGCTAACATGGGCGGGCCTGTGACCTTTGAGGCTCCTGAGCTGCCCGAGGAGACTCTGATGGAGGTAAGACACTGGAGAACCAAAACACTTTTAGAAATGTTAAACTATTATTTTTAGGGCTACACAACTAAGTATAGATATTGCATTATTGGCTTTGATCACTAATTTTAATTGTTCTTTTTTCATTTAAAACTAAATCTACAATATTTATTTATTTATAATTTTAGTATTAGTTATTATTATTATTATTATTATTATTATTATTATTAGTTATTATTATTATTTTTATTAATATTATTTTTTTGTCTTTTAACTAAAAATATGAAAACAAATATACTGTATATTTATTAAACGTTTGTTTTATTCTTGTTTGCATCTGTGTTTTGTTTTTGCCTAAATTTGACCTGTAAATAAAGTCATTTATATTAATATTTGACATAGTTATCGAACATTTGTACAGCCCTAGCTACTATTTTTCCCTGCAAAAATCTCTTTTGAAATAGTGCCGCTCAAATCACACTGCATAAAGTCATTCAGTTTAGCCTTTACTCAGAATTCCAGATGGCTCTATTCCAGAATTGTTAAAAATGTCAAATGTGAATTGAAATAATGTGAGTAGATCCTTTTAAACCAGGGTAAGAGTCTAGCCCGAGGTGAGCTTGAAGAAACAAGTGCACGTATTAATACAAAGCTGTTTAAAATTCTTCCACTGAACTATCTTCTTCTCCTCTTGTCTCTGGGAGCAGCAGGAGCATACGGACACAGTTCAGAGCCTGCGTTTCACCCTGGAGTTTGCACGCTGTCTGGTGGAGGTGGCTGCAGCCCGTGGCAGTGCAGCGGAGCACCCAGACACACCCCCTCCTCCTCCCCTCCAGCAGCAGCAGCAGCAGCACAGCCTGGTGGCCGATCAGATCAGCTCCCTCAGCAGAGAGTGGAGGTAAGGCTCCTCAGTGTGGTGAATGAGGTGAATTTGAGCTTTCCACGTTGTTTTAATGTTCTCTCATCAAAAACCTGCCGGAAGAGGTTAAAGATGTCATCCATACATGTTAGAGTAATGTAGTGATTTCTTCTGGGCAGTATTCGAACCCTCATTGCAGTTAGTTGTAAAATTCTGTCCAAAGCTCAATCCACAAGCCTTTGTCATACATGCTCCCATGCAACAAAACTCGATAGAAAACTACACAAAAACTTGACAAACCTGATGTAATGTGCAGCAGCTTCATTAGCAGAATGCTGATTGTATCGCAAGAGTGTTACATTTAGTCAGCAGCATTTTTTTTTAAATGGGTCAAAGACACAAAAAGTTAAATACTATAAAATAAACACCCAATCATATTTCAGTCATAGATTAGAGATGTGTAATTTGCATAATTCGCTGTTAATCTGGGCAGAAAGCAGGGTGTTTTGGGGTTAGACACTGGTTAGGAGAAGTGTCTACATTTTTTGAAACGTGTTTTTCTTTCCATAGCTATGCCGAACAGCTGGTTCTTTATCTGAAGAGCGCAGACCTGTTGTCGACCGCCTTACACACAGCAAAGGAGCGAGTGAAGGAGGGCAAACTCTACCCTTCCACAACTGTCAAACAAGGTGCACAGAGCTTTTCCCAACTTGAACGTTTATTATGGACAGTCTCTACTGACTTGAGAGCCTGACAGACTGTGTATTTTTGCCTCTGTGTAGTTGTGAAGAAGCTGAATGAGCTGTACAAGACCAGTGTAGCCTCCTGCCGCTCCCTTAGCACTCGTCTGGAGCGCTTCTTTTCCAGGAAGCATCGGCTGATGGACCAGATCAGCTCTATCACCGCGGAGAGGCTGCTGTTCAGCCACACTGTGCAGATGGTAAGTACCAGCAAGTGTAAAGTCAAAGAGGAGGGGTGGCTATTGAACAGAACACAGTATACAAGCTGATTTGAAATAGGCTCAAAGTACTTCCCTCACCCACAACAATATATATTTTATTTTATCTTATTAAAGGTTTGGGTTAGACAAATAAATGCTGATTGTAATGTGATAGTGCTCTGAAGGTACAGTGACTTAGCACAGAGAGCTGAGAGAGGTGAGACTCAGAGGGTCAAAATGAAACTGAAACCAAACAAACATGTTAATACCTTACAATAAAAGGTAACATGGTGATCTAAAAATGTTCTGTTAGCAGTTAATACCCAAGAGAATAGTAATACCGCCTCTTTAAGGCTTTTCAAATATAAAGTGTTACCTTTTTTAATTTATGTATGTATATTTTCACTTTGATTGTCCTTGTTGTGCAGGTTCAAGCTACTGCGTTGGATGAGATGTTCCACCAGGGGGAGGCCTCCATCCTGCGATATCACAAAGCACTGCTGCTAATGGAGGGCCTGTCTATGCTGCTCTCTGAACAGGAGGACATCCTCAGTGTTAGCAAATGTGAGTGTTTATTATCGTTGTCATGATACTAACATTTCAACTCGATTTCGATACTAAGGAATAGACACTTGATACTGAATCTGATGCCACATTGATAATAAAAAACACTCAAAAACGCACTTATTTAGACAATATTGATGTATTTTTTTTCAACATTAATAGTTAAAATTAATTGGCGTATATTAGTCTATGTGGTCTTAAAACTGTTCTGATGTAGCTCAAGATCATTCTAAAGCTATTCAGGAAAGGTTCATTTCTGTCCTGTGAATATGACTTTTTTAATACTGATAGTTGCTCAAATGAGTATTCAGTACTAGTAAAATTGAGTATTAGTTTTAGTATCAATTAGGGGTGTAACAATAACCAAAATATCGTGATATCATATAATCAAAATTCTCACAATAATATTGTGGACCATCACAATATATCGAATTACAAGTCTCTTTCCTTAAATTAAGAGTTATGGTGCAGCAATAGCTAAAAAAAAAGACAGGGAACTACATACACCATGATCCTTTGCTCTATTTCAGTGTAGACAACATGAAGAAATAACAGTTCTAAACACTTTTAAGTCTTAGTTCTTTGGATTAAGTCTTGTCAAGGCATTTTAAGAGGAAAAACAGTTAACAGTTTTATTATCCTCCACAAAATATCACAATAAATATCGTACCATGAGATGTATATTGTGAAAATATCATGCAGAGAGATTCGGATTTTGTTACAACCCTAATCTTGAGCCTCCTCACCATATCGTGAGCTTTCCCATGATATCTCAATAAATATCGCACCGGGAGGTTCATACCCTGACGATATCGTATCGTGAGACTTGGATATCATTACACCCCTAGTGTCAATTATTTGTACTGAAAGATTATATTCTATCCCAAAAAATAATTAAGATCAACAATTTTGTTCTGTTTTGACAGGTAAAGAGTGCATTGAGCGACGCATCACAGCTCTACAGTCTGGCCTCTGCGTTTAGGAGTGGACCACAGTGTAATGGAGTTTAGATCATATGTCATTTTTTCACCCAGACAAACTCTCAACAAGTCCCATATTTTCTACTAGATACATTATTTTTGTCTTCAGTTAGTCATCCAATTCAAGGATTTTGATTCACCTCCACGTCCACTTGATCATCTTAAACTATGGACTGTTGAAAATGGCTTTGGTAATGGGTCGGACAAAAAGCACGAATGTCTGTCTTGGAGATAGAAAGACTCTAAAGGCACTGAAGTCCAACAGAATCTCCTAAACTGAAGTAAACCATTGCAAATAAAACAAAGAGGACACCTATCCACACACTTAGTACACCTTGTTAGTGTTCTAGATGCTTCTAATTGCAATTGACAATTCTATAATCAAATCCAAATGCGGGGAATTGTAGCTCATGTAAGTTTTTTTTTTTTTTTTTTTCTGTGTGTCTCAAAGTTCAATCAAATGTCAGTGTACCCAGGTAAAGGACAGAAAAAGATCATTCTTAGCTTTTCAGCACACTGATGAAACCTGTTCAAATGACCAAAAACAGTAAAGTTACACTGTTAGATGTATTAGGACATGCTCTCTGTGGGACACGTAATAGAACAGAATAGAAATAGACAAAGTGAGTATGGCTTGCTTTTTAAAATAATCAAAACATCAACTCTATCCAAAAAACTGGAACTTTAAAATGTAGCTTTCCTACAAGGACTGGTGTTTGCCCCACTGCTCTCACTTTAGTGTGTTTTTGAAGAATGTGGGGGCGAGATGCTGTTGATTCCATATTTGTGTTCATGTCTGTTATGTCGGATCTGAATGAGTACAGTCACATTTGAATGTAAGCAGACGGGAGGAGCACAGAGCTAAGTCTAAGTGTTTGTCCAGCATTTAGACTGATCCCCAAGCTGTGTGGAATGACTTTGCACTGTTTAAGTACTGTATTCAGTGGTTTGGAATGGAACATGCAGAACATGCTACTTTTGATCATTTAGTGATGTTTCATTGAGTTGTTATCTAGTTACTGTTGTGTGTTAGATGTGAGAATGCTTATCCAAGACTGTATAAGCTATGTATCATTGCAGAGTTCTGCTGGTGACAGTGTTGTTTTTGGCGTGTGCATTCATTGTCTTGTTTTGTTAGTATAGTTTATCAGCCTCAGTCTGTCCTGAAGGCGCTGACATGTAGAGGCTGTTTTATTTGGAGTTTTCAAAGACGATGTGCATGAGCACATGCATGAGTGTTTTATTGAGGTATTAGTGATTTGATGAAATCCATGTTTGAACTACTAATGTTGGTTTCCAGTTTACACTGGGTACACTGCGTTTTACAGACAACGCACCGGAAAGTGGATTTCTCTAGATTGTACTTGTTTGCCTTAATAGTTGTTAAGTTGTTTGATAGAGTAAACCTTTAAAGAAATCAGAGTTAAACTTTTAAGACACAGAAGAAGAAATGAGTGAAGACACTGTCAGCAGAATGAAGCAATGTGTGAAGTGAATCTTTCAGACAGAAGTCCAGAGAAGGCTGTGTATATTTTGCTTTGTGGCCTTGTATAATGTTTGGTTGATATTACTTGTGTTTGTATGTGTGCACATTCCACATAGACTAACCATCTCTGTCTGACACCATATACTTAGTATTTGCAGACTTTGTTTTTCTTCTACTATAGAAATAATGTTGATGACTTTATAAATGAAACTAATGCATATGTCACTTTTACTTCCCATAATTGTTTATCAGCGTTTTTGATCACCTTAAGACTCAGAAATTGGATTTATGCAGCAGCCAGTTTCCTGGAAATGCCTAATGGACACCCAGAGTGTGTAGGGAACTACGCACCATCGCCTCGTACATGCTGTAACATGTTACAAGTGTCCTTGAAAAGATGGCCTCCAGTTGTGCTGGTAAAGAGAAGTGGAACCCCAGGAAGATTCAGCTAAAACATGCACTCCACCTTCTTCTATCATCGATGTATCAGACTTGTTTGCCAAGAATGTTTTTGTATTTTATTTTCACCTGACAAACTTTGTTTCACTTGTAAATATTGTAAATTAAGTTATTGTTGTTGTACATATTGAGCTATGGGTATGGAGGGAGCAGATTCCACCTACGTTTCCAAAGAATGGCGCTCTGATCTACCCAGTGCCTTGATAAAGGCGTTTTAAATGTGTCTCATCGGTGACACACTATTTCCTTCTTGTGTGAGCTCTAATATTACTGTGTGACTGAGAGTTGCAATAAAAAACAAAAGCAAAAAGCTATTGTATTTTGTTTGTGTTGATTATGTGGCTCTAATCAAATCTACTCAAACTCCTAGAAACATGAACCATTAGTCTATATACAAAGAGGACTCATGCTGCTGCTTATGTCACTGCTTTGACATCCCAGTGAAGAGTCAGTATTTAGGCCATTTTATCTTACTTGTATCTTATTTGAGGTTTTATTCTGTTTTCTCTTCACCCTAATGTTCACATGTGGTCACTTTTTAACAGTCTCCTCTGCTCCACCGTACCAAAACACCACAACAAACTCTGCTCTGGGACAGGGCATGAAACTATTTGATTAGCCAATGCACCTGTCAATCATGCACGAAGCGGGGGCGGGTCATCGTGCAGGAACAGGTGGTTGTCAAGGCAACGGCGTAAGTCTGATCAGGCGAGCGGCGCAAACTAAAACACTCCACAGCCAAACGCACGAGAAAGAGTAAGTGTAGTTTCAATCGCAGCGTTATTTAGTAAACTGTCTTTTTATTGCCTGTGAGAAAAGTCGTATCCGGTATGGTTCGGCATCAACACAAACTATGTCAAGCAGCAACATCAACCTACCCCCGGTGCGACATTTGCCTCACTGGACCCGAGTTGGAAGTCTGGGTAAACCATGCGCCGCGCCTCGCCTTCCGCCGGGGATCCAGCTAGAGCCGCTTCGTCCCGGCCCACCAGAGGACAGGGGGTCGGTGATGAGGGCGCATTCACCGGAGGAGGGCAGCCACACAGACCCGGACCCCCGCGTCGCCTCGTTGCAGAGAAATATCCAGTTCCTCCAGCAGCAGCACCAGGACACGCTGGGGAAGCTTCACACGGAAATCGAATACCTCAGACGGGAGAATAAAGGTGAAGACAGAATGTGTGTTTCAGTGGAAGGCCATTAAGGAATTGGCAATGACCTGGACACTAGACTGAGGTTTATAATGTAGTCTGCTTGGCCTCAAATCCACGTAAAACCATGCGTAAAACTGAGTACAAATGTAGGCCTCCAGACGCCCCCTTGAAGCTTATAATGTCAAACTTTCAGTCATTAAAGGGCCCGTATTACTCTGCTTTCTCATCTGTGTTATAATGTTGTTTCCTCATCAAAAACAGACCTGGAGATGTGTTTTGTTTCTTTTACACATGTTTAACACACAAACCCTGCAGATTTAGGCTTCTGAGTTCTTCTCTTAAACAGAAAAACACTAGTTCCACCTCGTGATGTCACGTGATAAAACGGGAAGTGCTCCACTGTGTTTGTTTTTTAACTTATACACTTTCACTAGAATCATTTAGATCAATTGTTGATCTCTACTGAACAAAAAATAAAAAGGTAGCTGTTAACTTGAAAACTACCTCTACATGACATCACAAGGTGGATCAGAGCATTTGAGCTTTTGTGGATATAGACTGACTAATAATAAAGGATGACCAAACATTTCTGATGAGGCAACAGCATTATGACATAGCTTGAAACTCAAGACTCAACTCTGAGTAATCTAGAATCTTTAAAGGTGCACCATGACACTTCTGGTGGAGTGTCCATCGTCTATAATTTGACAATTTATCTCCATGGGGAAAAAAATTATGGAGAAGCAACACTGCTCACAGTAAGAATCACAGACCGTATATATGAGTGGATGTAGCTCATGCTTTAGCCGCTGATAGGAAGTTCACCAAGAGGCTCTTCTGGCTCCTTCTGACTCTGGCTTCAATTGGCTTACATTAGGATCTCGTGGCTCCTCTCTCTGTACCTGCTGCAGTGAGCCTCATCATTTTGGTCTTAAAATTTTCATATTAACCTGCTCTATATGATCCAAATTTTTTTTCACTATTATGTCCATCAGAAAAATCCTATTCATAACATATTCAGATTCAGATTGGCTCCTGTAACCGTTAGAATCACGAGCCTCATTTGAGCAGAGCTGGACGCTATGGATGACTTCACACTCGCTTAGTTCACTTCCTTTATACAGTCTGTGGTAAGAAGGTATCTTTTTCATGGGCTGTTTTTGAGCAAACAAAACACCGAGTTGAATACATGCACAATGGTTAAGTCTAATGCCATACAGTCAGTGTTGGGAAGGTTACTTTTAAAATGTATTCCCCTACAGATTACAGATTACACACCCCAAAATGTAGTTTGTAACGTAATCCATTAAATTACTTAAAGTGAGTAACGTAATCTGATTACTTTGGATTACTTGATATTGTCATGTTTTTTTAAACGACATGAATGTAGCAACCACATCCTGAAAATTCTTGTTTGTTGTCTTCAAATTGTCTGAGCCCAAGTCTCCATGAATAAACAACTGTTTGCTGTAGAGAAACAAAGACCACGATATCTGAACATAAGAGGTTTTGTCTGTTAAAAGACAGTAACAAGATCAGCCTTTCCTTCACCAGATTAAAACATATTATTGATAGAGAAATTATTATTTTTACATGAGATCACCTTAAATTATGTCAACCTACTGTTAGGTGTCATGTTGTTTAGACCTGGTTTAGTCCTGATTTTTAGACCTGGTTTACTCCTGATTTTAGACCTGGTTTAGACCAGGTCTAGACCAGGTCTTTAGTCCTGGATTAGTTCTGGTTTAGTCCTGGATTAGTTCTGGTTTAGTCCTGGTGTTAGTTCTGGTTTAGAGGCGCACAGGAGGAAGTGCGGTTTACGCGAGAAAACACGTTCCACACGCGGCGCATGAGACGGCGGTGTCCGCGCTGTAACTACGGAAGGAGAAGTGGTCCGCGGGTTCTCAGGTTGATGACGATGATGAAGGTGTTTGTGTGTGTTTGTGTGTGTTTGTGTGTGTGTGTCCTCTCATGTCGCAGGTCATTATAGGACAGTAGTGCAGACATCATGAGTCTATGCAGGTTGTTTTCACCAGTGCCAGTAGCTCCTGTTTCACATTTAAGTTGTAGGCGATTTTATATTTGTTTTTTTTAATATATATATATCACATCGGGAGAAGAATTTTCAAGACACAAATGCGTTTTTACCAATGCACTGCTTTTTCCACTGTGTGACTGACACCGCCAACTTTAACATGACGTTTACATCGCTCTTATTGCGCGTTCTGTTTGGGTTTCCGGCAATGAGTGAAATGACCGAAATAAAAAAATAAATAAATGGGATGTAGCACAAAATGTGAAAACAGGAAAATACCGTCTTGTAATCCACTTATTTCAGCAAAGTAACTGTAATCCAATTACCACTCATTGAAACAGTAACTGTAACGGAATACAGTTACTCATAATTTGTACTCTGATTACGTAACGGCGGTACATGTAATCCGTTACTCCCCAACACTGCATACAGTGGAACATTGCAGGCAAAGCAATAACAACTCCATGAAGTCAAGCAGGCGGTGGACCCCACACTAGAAAAGTTACACAGCGCACCTTTGTGGAAGGCTCAGTATTCTAAACTATTTTTAATACCACAGTGGCCACGTTTACATGATGTTTGTTTGTTTTGTTTTTTTATTCTGAATAATCATTACGAATTAGTGTTTACATGGTCTTTTTAAAGCAAAATTTATTTTTATTCCAAATTAAGTTATTTTTAATCAGAATTAAAGCTCTCATGTAAACAGGACAAATGATAAGAAAGTATTTTTAGAATGGCTACAAATGTATTTTTGTTAGGCATACGAAATAGTTGTAGTCCTTGAAATAGGATCAAGGTAATAGCCTTTCTAGCCTATATCCTTCTAAATCTATTCAGGAAAGGTCAAATTCTTATGTTTTTTTCTCTGTATTGATGCCTGTCCAAACGAGTGAGTAGTTTCAATAGGCCTACTAGTTTTAGTATTGATTAGCAGCTGGGGATCGTTTTTCTTGATAACTCTAATGTAAAGTGGGCCTGACAATTCCATGTAATGCACTTCGCTACATCACAATTCAACTAAAAGTCATGGAGTCATTAGGCTACGGACTTTATTTGTACTAGGCTAATGTCCTCATAGGCTCCTCAGTATTATCTTATTTTACTTTAACAATTTCATGTACTCTACAGGGAACTTCTTTAACCTAATTTGTCTCGTATTAAAAATGTATCACAACTTAATGAGTGAAACAAATTGCCCTGTTTTCCTCCTGCTTTGGCGCTGAAAATCACTCGAGTGGACATTTAATCTAGGCAGGGTGGTCGCGTAGCAACTCCAGTGTTCTGACGGGGAAAATGAAAGGTGAGTGCTCGCTTTGTGGGAGGCGGTGTCACTTTCCGGCACGTGCTGGCCCTCATGCTGTTCCATATAGTGGCACATCTCAACACCGTCCCTCAGTGGTTCCTCCGTCACCTGTCTCTGCTCAGGCAGCACCTTATGGGCCATGTTACAAATGTGCATCTAATGAGCCTCTATATGGCACACTGTACACCTCTTGTCTTATGGCTGTTACAGAGCTGCAGTATAAGCTGATAATGGAGACGCCCACTGTCAGTCGGAAAGGTAAGTCACACAAAATAGACTTCAAATACATTTCAAATGACTAGGCCTGTCACGATAATTACAATATCAGCTTATCGTTCAATATATGAAAACTGGAACAATATTTATCATGGGTAGGATCATAGATTTTGCAAAAATGAGGAGCTGTTTTGACCATTTTTATGTAATGCCGTAAGATTTGAGTTGTAGAATAAATAACTAATGACTAATTACTCGTTCATTCTGATTTTTAGTGGGTGCAGCTCATGATTTTTAATGATATAGTATTGTTTAAAAATGGTTTACTGACATTATCCTGCTTTGTTTGAGTGGCATAAAGCAATTTTAATATTATCGTTTATCACCGTATATCTCTGTAGCAATATATGATGCTTCATTTTGTTATGGTGACAGGCCTACATGTTACTTTCTGTTATAATTTGAGTTGATATTAGAGTGTGGGTTTAATCTGGATGTTGTGGATAATAGCAGGATTGCCCGTGAGTCGCAGAGGCCTCAGACCACCCACTCAGGGCAGTGATGTGCGCTCAGGACTGTACCTGGAGGAACAGCTGCAGGACACGAGACCCCTGCATGATCAAGCAGCCAGGTTAGAATGATCTGTGTACACACCACCTGTCTGTTTTAGTGGTGGAGGAAGTACTCAGCTGTGTTACTTAAATGTGCATTGTGTAGCTTTTCTGGTGGAGGGTCTGCCAAATGCTTTTATTATTATAAACTGCTTTGTCTGGAATGTGTCACAGTATGGTGTTAAACCTTTCTATCTTCATGGAGACCAAACCAGAGCAAGTTACAGGTCAGATCTGTCAAGAGGCGACCCTGCTCACAGTCAGAATGTTCTTTTTCTAGGTATTTTTGAGTTATAAAACCATCTGTAACTGAATAAATGTAAGACTGATCTGTTTAATGTCATACTGTGGAACATTCTAGGAGAAGCAATGATATAACCATAAAAACAAGCAGGGTGACGGACTGCAACCAAAAAGTTAAAGTAGTAAGTAAAAGTGAAAGTATCACATGATGGGTTTGCCATCTGATTGTCTCCATGGAGATATTGATTTGCGTGGAATGTTCCACAATAAGTATGATAATAAATATGTCATGCATTTATTTAACTACAGGCATGTTTATTTATTTAACAACATTCTTACTGTGAACTGGCTTGCATCTCCCCAGATCTGACTTATCAAGTTTTCCTGGAGGCATCATTAGCTTATGTCCATAGAGATACTGCAAGACCAGGATGTAGAATAGGTTTGAGGTGGGAAAAGCAATAATATGACAAAATGTACCTGAGTTCTGTTTGATCTTTTATAAAAACCAGCATGGTCGACTGAGTCATGTTTCCTGTAAATATGGTTTTTATACATGCAGGATTCTAGTCCAAGGACCCTAAAAGGCTTTCTGTCCTTACACTATATACTGGCCTGACGTGCATAACATCTATAAATATGCTAAAACCAGTCAACAAAAGTATTTTAAATTAATAAAACAAAATTACAAATAATTTGTTATCAATGATCAGCCTCCGCCGCCTGGATTCAAACATGGCCCTCAGAAAAAAAGTGTCCACTATGCTATTAATAAGCATCTTAAAACCTCCACTTGGTTAATATTAAAGGTCCTATATATCTCTTGTAACTAGGGTGACCAGACATTCCGAAAAATTTGGGACAGTCCCGAAATCTAAAGCCCTAAATGTCCTGAAAATTACACTCAAACAGAAAGTAGTTATTTTCTGATAAACATGAAAAATTGTTCGTAGAGAGGTTGAGTCGCCTGCACGCAGCCACTTAGAAACCGTCCGGGACTGCGTGCAGCCCCCGCTATAATCTATCTATTTTGTTTATTTTTTGACGTTCTTCGCAGCAGCCAGCAGTGATTAATTGGTCGCGGGCCACATGTGTACATTGTTATTTTTCCACAATGACATTTTGAGTTCATGTCTGTCATGATTTTATGTTGTTTTCTTGTGGCAGAAATATTAATGAAACACTTGATCTTTGAATAAAAGTATGTTTGTGACAGGTTTGAACCCCACCCTCCAAAAAACAAAAAACAAAAAAACAGTCCCGAATTTCAGCCAATCCCATCTGGTCACCCTACTTGTAACTTTAAATTATAATGCTGTTACTTCCTTAAAAAGAAACATACCTGGAGTTGTGTTTTGTTTTTTTTTTCACACAGGTCTTTAGTCTGTCTTCATCTCCAAAGCTCAAAATGTTCTTTTCCGTCTTGTGATATCATGAAGCGTCAGTTTTCATGTTAACAGCTACATTTAACTTTTTTTTTTTAAATACACATTGGCAATTCGAGGTGTGAAATTACCCAAATGATTCTAGGGAAGGTGTATGGAGTTTAAAAACACAGTGTAGCACTTCCTGTATTACCACATGACATCACAGAGTGTTTTCTGTTTGAAACAATTCAGTTTAAATATGCAAGATTTATCTGTGTAAAATGTGTGAATGAAACAAAACACATTTCCAGGTACGTTTGTGATGATGCGATGAGGAAACAACATTACAAAAGATCAGAAAATAATGTAATATGGGCCATTTAAGTTAAAAAATAAATAAATATGATGTGGGACAACACAACCTCGACCCGCATACATGGAGCGCTGTAATATAAGCACATGATTTATTATGTATATGTACTACTACTATGTCTGCTATTAACCTCCATTCTGTGTGATCTATAATTCATACTGTGAGAAGTCTGGGAGAGTCCACAGACGCAGCAGGCTCCTTCAGCAAAGCACATGGCACGGAGCCGAGAGGGGGTCTCATCACGTCACTACAGCCTCTGCGCATCCACAGTAGCCCCGCCCACCCGCCACGCCCACCCACCCTGCACGAGTGTGAGGTCATCATCCGACAGCTCTACAATGCCAACAGTATACAGTCTCAGGAAGTAGGTCACTCAAACAGGTTACATTTGTGGTTTTTCAAAGGCTGATTGTTGTGCTGGTCTCTTTTAGCTTTTACGGGTGAAGGCTTTGCTGAGAGATATTGTTTTTAGTAAGAAAATCACACCAGAAAACTACATTCTCACCAAAACCTACCTTGCAGATGGGACAAGGTATTTGTTAGGTATTTTATTCATATTAAATTAAAGGTGCACTGTGTAACATTTCTGGTGGAGGGTCTGCCTTCAGATGTTATTGATCAGCCCTTCATTGGTGGGATATCCATTTGGAGTTTGCCATTTGCCTGGAAGATTCCACAGTATGGCATTTAAAAAACAAAACTCTTTTGCAAGTAGGCACTGACCAAACAAGGTCTGCTAAGTACTGACACTGCAGAACTAACATCACTTTAGTGCCAACTTTTGCTTCCTTGGCTTTAAATATATGCATCAATCATTAACTAAATATACTGCACTGGTTTATCAGCGTCACAGGTGCTCGCGCATCACAACTGCACATTGTACAAATAAATGGCACGAATGACTCACATTTTAAAGGTCTTATATTAGACAAAATATAGTCTTGCAACAAGACTAAATTTAACAATACTGCGTAACAGTATTTTTATCTCCTGGAGTTGTGTTTCATTCACACATGTTTGAGTAATCCTTTATTATGTGTTTGTCTACTAGCCAGGATGGCGCCATCTAGTGCCTCCGCTCAATTTCATTTCTCTCCAGTGACTAGGTCAGGAATCAGAATACACAAGACAGTTCACAAAAAACATATATTCTGTGTTGGCAACAATTCCCAAGAGAATGTTTAGTGAATTTTATCAAGTGGAAAGACGTTATTGCCCTTCTTCCTACAGGATTTAGGAAAAGCTTAATATACCAGTTAGCCCCGTTAGCGGCGCATTACATCACGACCAAATAGCAGCGATTGGTTAAATAAAAAAAGAACCCGCCTACCGTCGGGCAAACGAATTCTAATGCTGCGAGGTCAGACAGTTTCTACGAAGTGAAACCGAAACATATAATGCTCCATTCCACCCATGGTTGACGTAGTGGCCACTCATTGGTCCTCTCATTTTGATTGGTCAAAACAATCAAGTGATACACGAGCCCGCGCTCCATGCGTGCGTTCGCGTGCATTTGCGTGTGTCTGCAGGAGAAAAGAGCACTACTGCGCATGCTTGGTCGGCCCACAGCCACTGGAAGTACCTCGCCACGCTAGGATAATCTGGGATCATGCGCCATTGAGCTTGGCCCACTGATTTTAATGGACGGCCATTTTGAAACCCCGGGGCTTGGTTCCACCTTGTGATTTCATGTAGTCATAGTTTTCAAGTTAACAGCTGTTTACCTTTAGTTCAGCAGAGACGACCAATTCCAGGTCTGAAATCATCATCATACCAGTGAACATGTGTGGAGTTTAAAAACACAGTGGAGCATTTCCTGTATTATCACATGGCATCACAAGTTGGAACCTGAGTGTTTTCTGTTTGAGAGAAGAACTCAGCTGAAACATGCAAGCTTTGTGTGTTAAACATGTGTGAATGAAACAAAACACCACACCAGGTCTGTTTGTGAGGTAAAAACTATTTTATAACAGATCAGAAAATAGCCTAATATGGGCTCTTTAACAGTGTGCAGCGTCTGTGTAAAGTTAAAGCCAAAATAGAAAGTCGAAGCCACATTCCTGAACATTCTCCATACGTAGATATACATATATTTTATGCCATACTGTGGAAGATTATAGCTAAAGGAACAACATTTTCACATTTCCATGGAAGCAGGAAGTACGCAGAGGCCCTATTCCAGGTCAAGTATGAGTCACGTTTGTGGAGATGCAGATTCCTCCACCAGAAAAGTTACATAGTGCATCTTTAATGTGTACACATGTTGCTTACTTGAATTTTGTTTTGCAGGAAGTTTTCTGAAACAGAGAAGTTGCCAAAGCTTGGTCTTCAGACATTTCCAGAAAAAATGTATGTCATTATTTTTATTGTTATGAAGATACATGTTTGTTATAGTCTACTGTACTTTATAGCGTATTAGGGCTACTTACAGGTCAGATGAAGAAAAAATACATGTAAATGTAAATGTGTCAAAAACAAAACAAAAAATGGCCCCCAAAAGACATGCACATTTTTCAAAAACAGCTCATTTCCCTTAAAACACACACATTTGATGGACTGAAGGAAGTTGGTAGGGCTGCTTATAGATAAAAAAAAAAAAAAAAAAAAACTATGGTAAACAAATGCGACCCTCAGAATTATTTTGAATTGGCCCATATTACTTAGTAAGTTACTTAAAAAAAACAAAAAACTACCCTGATAAAGCCAGTATCAAATATGTTGTGTGTCCTATTGAGGATTGGCTCATTCTAAGCTTTTATTATGCACATATTTCAATTATTCACCCTACTGACCATGAGTCTGTAGTTCTTGATCATCCCTCTGCTTCGTCCGTGTTTTGACATGTGACCCTTGATGAAGAAAGTTTGAACACCGCTGTTGTAGATTGTGGGAAAAAATGAAGTATCAATCCTGTGAGTCTTCCGCATTTTTTTTCTCATAAATGTGCTACTTTTTTCTTGTAAATTTCCCTCTTTTTAAAGCATGAGTTGCTTGATTCAAAACTTATAAAATTGCTATACTTTTCTCACAGATCTGTGTTTAAATATTTTTTCCTTCATCTATAAGTGGCCCTAATACACCATTGTACTAATAGACTGTCAGAGAAAGAAACAAATATGACAAAAAGTAACAAATATGCATGTTTTTCTCTTAAAAATTAGCTGCTTTTTCATGCAAATTTGCCACTTTGCCACTTAAACACCTATGAGATTCAAAAGTTCTTCTTTCAAAATAATATCTTTGAAACTCAACAGTATTTAGTATTAGATCAATATTGTCCGTATGTGATAAGTGCCAGTTTTCACCAGTTTATCAGCAATCTATTTACGTTTGTTGCGGTGTATAGGCTGCATTCACACTAGACAACAGGAGTGTGCAAAAATATTGAAATATCGACATATCGTATTGTTTCTGATGATACAGTCTCAATATTGTGGGCTGTTGTATATTACAATATATTGCCAAGGGTATGTTTTTGGTATTTTTTACAAAATTATTTTGTGAAAGAGCTATAATTGTGTTTCTTGTTTGGAGAAAGTGAACTTGTTTATGCAGTACATTTGACATTTTCACTGTTTTGATGAGTGAAATGGGCATATTAAATGAAGTTAATATTAATATTCACTTTGCACAAACAATTTTTACTATCACTTCCTTTTTTTAGCCTTTCTTTTTACTGAACTGTATAGAATTGATTTGAAATATATCGTATTGAAACGTATTGAAACATATTGAATCAAAAGTGCACTGTATCGTGTCTATATATCGAAGTATGTATCGTATCGGCAACTTCTTAATGATACCCCGCTCTGCAATGACCAGGACAAGTGTGAGCTGGGCCTGCAAGATCAATCAGAATCGCATCAAAATTGCAATTAGCAAACTGCAATGGCTGCAATTTTTTAAGTGCCATAATTTCCTTCACAAACTATACGCAGAATATCCAGTCTTATTCTGCATAAAAAAAAAAAAGTGCTAACCCTGTAGCTCAGATCTGTACAAACGTCCTGAAATGTGATTGTTGTGTTAGTTTGTCAGTTCATATTTCAAACTTTTGGACACGTTAATAATGTGAACTTTGAACAGAATCCTATTAATAAAACATAAGTCACAAATCTAAACACAATGCTGTCAGAAAATCACTATCACATACTGTATTTTCCTCAAATCGTTCAGCCGTTGTGTGAGCGCAGTGTAAGATTTGATTGCCCACGAGTAATAGCTTTTTAATTGGCTTCTATAATCTTTTAGTCTTGTCTTCTCCGTCCACAGCTCTGAAACTCCCCAGTCGGCTGTGATCTTACCTGCTCTCAAACAGTCTTTCAGCACGTCCATCGCAGACAGACAGAGGAGGGCCCGCGCTGTGCAGAGGGGCCGATTCAAGAGAGTGGTGCAGTGACGCCAATACGCATCAAGAGGGTTTGGTATTTTCAACAAGGACTGACATGAGACTATGGAAGGCTTCTTAAAATGTGTTTTCATTTTGTAATTTTTCTTGAGTTTTCACAAGATCTTAAAACTGTAATGTCAACGCAAGGTACACATAGAAAAAATGTTTTATCTTGATATAGTAGAATGAGTTGTTTTTATGTCTAATAATAACAGGTGACATTTTGTTTAACTAGCTGGATAGATGTTTTCTTGTGTAATTCTGAATTACATTATTTTCAAATGAAAGTGTTGTTAAGTGTGTTCTGTGTTCTACTGGGTTTCTGATGACATCACAGCATTCTGTAGGCCAATGTTATTCAATATAGAGCTTGTGCGGTAGCTGAAATTAATATTATAAAAATGCAGGTTTTTGTTATAATATAGCAAGATGAGGGGTCTAGTCACTAATGGAAATGATCAGGCTGATTTACCTTTTGGATATTTCATGGCAAATTATAATGTAATCAACAGGAAAAGCTGACTGTTGCTCCCATCTGTTACTACATCATTACATTCTCTGAAAACCACCAAGATAAACTGAAGAACCATATTATAATTTATTGCATAACTAATGGTGCGTTCACACTTGGTTTGGTTCTGGTTTGAGCCCAGTTTGAGTCCTATAATGTAGATTTGGTTTTGTCTTTTCTAGTCCAGGTTTAGTCCTAGTCGAGTCCAGGTTTAGTCTCAGTTTAGTCCCGATTTTGATGTGAACATACCTTACACTTAGTATGAGTTTATAAAAGATCTAGTTTTCATTCATGAAATCAAATGAGAATTATTTATTGTCTGTTATTATTATTTATTACATGTATTAATGTTCTGTCACTATAATGATATTTTAAAGGTCGTATATTATGTAAAATTGGCTCTTATGAGCTTTAAAACATGTTATTATATCATCAGAAACATACCTGGAGGTGTGTTTTGTTTCTTTCACACATTTGAGTAGAGCAGGGGTCTCCAACCTGTAGCTCGGGAGCTACCAGTAGCTCTCCACCCCCTTCCAAGTAGCTCTCCAAGGGATTTACACATACACATACACATTGTGTTCAATAAGTAAGATTTTATGAATTAAATGCCTTTTACCATTGTACATGAATCATTTTGATGCCTAAGTTTGTGCACTAATAAATGGATAATGGTTTATGTTTTATAGACATTTAACTGTATCTCACCTAAGGCTCGATGTGGCTCTTATTTATGCTCAATTTCTTAAGACCACCAAAACTAGTAGCTCTTTGGCATTTTTGTTTTGTAAAAGCAGCTCACTGGAGGAAAAACACTGGAGACCCCTGGAGTAGAGACTGGTAATTCTAGGTCTAAATTTATCCAAAGGATCCTAGTGAAAGCATATGGAATACACAGTGACGCACTTCTTGTATTACCACATGACATCACAAGGTGAAACAGTGTTTTCTGTTTGAGAGAAGGACTCAGTCTAAATAAATGGGTTTGTGTGATAAACGTGTGGATGAAACAAAACACAACTCCAGGTATATTTTGGCTGAGAAAACAACCCAATAACAGATCTAGAGAATAGTGTAATATGGGCCGCTTAAATAGCAGATATCATACACTGACACACTCATTTGGAATTGCATATTTAGAACTGCCCAGTAGACAGCCTTTTCATAATACCTGCACCACATATTCGACTGTATGACCACATATCTTGTCACATATATATACAGTCCCTGACAAAAGTCTTGTCGCTTATCCATTTTGTAGAAACAAAAGCTTATAACCTGACTTTAAATTAATCGATTGGTTTTAGAAATGTCTCATATGAAAGCTAAAACCCTCCCAAATTATGCTTAATATACTAAAATAAATTTGCTTCACTGAAGAAAGATTGATCATTTAATGAACACAGAAAGGTCAGATTTTGGCAAGACAAAAGTTTTGTCGCCTACAGAAAATTGAACAAATAATTTACTTCAAATACAAAAATATGTTGCATAACGTCAGTGAATGAAGTAGTGGTGCTGTGAGATCCATATTTAATATCTTGTATGACTTCCATGAGCTTGAAGGACGCATCCATGCAGTTCGACAATGATTCATACAGTTTGTTGATGAAGTCATCAGGAATAGCAAAGAAAGCGTCTTACATGCCTCCCAGAGTTCATCAAGATTCTTTGGTTTTGTCTTCCATGCTTCCTCTTTCATTCTACCCCAGACATGTTCAATGATGTTCATGTCTGGTGACTGGGCTGGCCAGTCCTGGAGCACCTTGATCTACTTCGCCTTGAGAAACTTTGATGTAGAGATAGAAGTATGCGATGGAGCACCATCCTGCTGCAAAATCTGACCCCTTTTATGGTTGGGAATGTAAGAGGTAGTTAATACTTCTTGATATTTTAGGTTATTGATATTGCCTTCCACCCTGCAAATGTCTCACACACCCTCATACTGGATGGAACCCCAGACCATGATTTTTCCACCACCAAACTTAACTGTTTTCTGGGTGAATCTTGGATCCATGTGGGCTCCAGTAGGTCTCCTGCAATATTTGTGGGGGCTGTGATGTAATTCAACCGAGGATTCATCTGAGAAATCCACCTTCTGATACTTTTCCAGTGTCCATCCTTTTATCAGGCTGTGGGCCTTGGCAAATGTCACACAGTTTTTTAATTGCCTTTTGTTTAGTGCTGGTTTCTGTGCACAGATTCGACCATGGAGGCCATTTCGAGACAGAATTCTACAAACTGTTGTGGTTGACACAGGGACTTGAGGTGACCAGGCCTGGTGGAGTCTGCTGCAGTGGAAAAGGGGCCTTGGATTTTCGAGTCAACAAACGGTCCTCCGGAGCAGTTGTCTTGTGGGGTCTGCAGGACCTGGGCTTGTCAAAAACATCTCCAGTCATTTCAGATCTTTTTCTTATTCTTTGTACTTGACGCTGAGACACATTGAAGGTGTCACCACCTCAGCAGTGGATCTGGTCTTCAGCCTCTTGATAATTAACGCTTTGGTCTCAGGGTGGACCTTAGGCATGTTGTCAGAGGTCAAGTTACAGTTGATGTGAAGGTCTGGTGTGCTGGGGTTCTTTTTATACACACCCACTAATTGACTGATCAGTAACTGACCACAGGTGAGGCTGTAATCTAGGATTGGGTGCATCATATGACAAGGCGACAAGACTTTTGTCTTGCCAAAATCTGACCCTTCTGTGTTCATTGAATGATCAATATTTATTTAGTGAAGCAAATTTATTTTAGTATATTGAGCATAATTTGGGAGGGTTTTAGCTTTCATATGAGACATTTCTAAAACCAATCGATTAATTTAAAGTCAGGTTATAAGCTTTTGTTTCTACAAAATGGATAAGCGACAAGACTTTTGTCAGGGACTGTATGTTACATCATATCTTGAGTGTAAATATCTGCAGCTCATCCATGTTAAAATCATCTCCCCAGTGATTTTTATGTTCACCTTAGGAGGAGCCACCCACTTCGATATTTCCATTAATTTGTTGCATCACTGCGTCTTTGTGTAAATGTGGGAATTGGCAGGCAGAGCTATTAAGACGCAGTGACTACAGACCTATTAAGATTCACACTGTGTTGCAGTGGTGGGAAGTGCCAGCTGCAGCCTCAGGAGCCACAGTGGCCACAACCCAAATACCCCAAGCACAGAAACCTACACAATTTCCTTTTGCTACTCATTTTGCAGAGGTGGAACTAGAACTGAAATGTGTTTTTAGTTTATAGGCCTACTACCAGCTGTGGTATTAGGAGTGTAAAGTACTGACTTATTATTACTTACTATTTATTACTTTTTATTTCCAGTGATGGGAAGGATACTCTGAAAATGTATTTAGTTATAGAATACTGAATACTGCATAAAATCTGTATTTTGTAACCTATACCGTTACATGGGACAGAGTACTGTATTCTGAATACATAAACTTTTACATTGATTAACATTATATTATGATGTAAAAAAAAAACATGATTTATTACAAACAACTTTTTTTATTAGCTATGCATTAATTTATGTCTAATGATACACAAATCACACATACACAAGAGCTGGGTTCTCTTATACTCTTATACTAATATTGTGCACATAAAGTCAAAATTGGATGATATAGTTCTGCCAAGTATGCCTTTGGTTTTAGAAAAATAAAACCGCGTATCGACAAATGCAAAAGTATTTCTGGCTGATTGTGCAGTGGTTAGTCACAGGGTGCACTAAAAGCCCCTAAAAAAAGTTACTAATAAAGGTTGGGAATCACTGACTGCGCTGTACCAAACAAATTTAGTTGCTGTCACCAAAAGTAGACCTGGATAAAGTGTCTCAGTGGTAGCACAAAAGCTCATGGTTTAAAGGTTTATTTATTTGTTTTTTAAGGATCCCCATTAGTCTCTGCAATTGCCCAGACTACTCTTCCTGGGGTTTGTGATTTAGTCCATTTCAGCCAACTTGCAGTGACTGATGAGTAAAGAAATAATTCAGGATAAAGCAACTCTGGATAATCGATGGAGCTATAGGCTGTATAAACTGAATGTATGATTAATAGAATGTTGTTGTTTTTTTGTTTTTTTTCCAGTATATATGACTGTTGAGTAGTATGTGGCCATATTGCTAATACTAAGTCTGTAAAACAATATGACACGCTAGCGCAGTGTCGCAGAACATTTGTTCTCTTTTTTTCTGGACGGACATTTCCGCAGTTATAAATAGACGTGTGCTTTTCGTGGGAGCACAGAAGATGACCCGCTTGTGCCGGAGTTTTCAGTAAACGCTCTCTCGCTGTGTCATGGAACATGATTGACAGCGGAGGAGGTGGGAGCTGTGTCAGAGCCAGCGCCCGCCCCTTCTTCCTCCCACTTCCCCTTGCTTCAGGCGTCAGTGACGTGCAGCCAGAAAGAAAGCGGGACCTGCCCTCCCGTCGCCATTTTTCGGTCTCGTACTCGCACTTTTGGTGGCTCGTGTGAGTGGAGGCCAGTTAAACTCTATCGTGAGAGCTTTGTAAAGTCGGTAATCGAGCGGCGTGCGTAATAATGCGCACGGAGGTGTGGGGTTAAACGCCTGAGATGCGCGCGTTGGAGACAAGTCCCTGCTCTGAAATCATTTTTTGTGTGAAGACGTGTTGCGGGCCGCCATTTTTGCTGTGCTGCCTCAAAAGTCTGCTCTGACTCAAGGAAGAGGATTGTACATTGTGTTTCCATGAAGATTTCCTCACCAAAAGACGCAGCGATACAAACTAACCACTTGATTTCCTCTTCGCGGCTGCTGAGGATCTGTTAGCGGCATGCTTTGGTGAGCGCTAAAAGAAGGGGCTACTTTCCATTCGCTTTACAGACTGGTGGAGTTAAACGAGTTTTTCTCGGAAGGCGGAAAAGGGGAAGCTTCATTGATCAGTTGTTGCCTTGGTCTACATATTACCATCTTTTGCTGTTTTGTCTAGTTTCCTCTGAAACCTCCAGCCTGACATTGACTGTTGCGTAAAAAGTGGCACACTATGATCCAAAGTTGGCCCAGGCTAGTTGCAGCCTGTTTCTGAAGCACCGGGCTGCTGCTGTTGGTAAATTCTGATATCAACCAGGGTGTTTGGAGTTGGCAGCCGCTCCTGCGCCCAATACGCAGGGAAATATCACAGGACTACGCATGCCCTGCTCCGTGTTGACCAGTTTGAAACACCACGCGTTTTAAATTATTATTCAGACTTTGCTCTCCTCTGGATATTACCATACTTTCGCCAGAAATGTCGCGGTTTGATTCGTCGGATCGACCCTCCTGGTATTTTGGACCTGTGTCCAGACAAGAGGCACAGAATAGACTACAGGGGCAGAAGCATGGCATGTTTCTAGTCCGAGACTCGTCTACGTGCCCCGGCGACTACGTGCTGTCAGTATCTGAGAACTGTAAAGTGTCTCACTACATTATCAACTCCCTTTCCAGCAAAAGGTTTAAAATAGGCGACCAAGAGTTTGAAAACCTCCCAGCTCTACTAGAATTCTACAAAATTCATTTTCTGGACACGACCACATTGATAGAGCCAGCTCCAAGGTAAGGATATGCTACGCCCCTGAACTCTGGCCTGTGTTGAGCTGTGTAGACTACTGATTGAGTAACCTGAGCTTTATTGAGGTACACAGACATCTGTAAAGCTACAAGTTTCATGGGCACATAAATGTTATTACATTAGATATAAAGGTTTTGTGTATTCTCCACACATGTGACACTAACTGCACATAAGGTGACAGTCTGAGGGCAGCAGCTGTTTGATGTGTTGTTGACATTGTCACCAGCAAATGATGACTGTGTATCAGACTTTCTTACCATGTTACTAACGTCCATGTGTTTATAGTTCTTAAATCATGGTTCATGTTCAACTCTGAATGGCCTTTTCTATGTCCAAAGGTACCCAAGCACAGTAACAGGACCCATCCAGTCTATTGGTGGACCAGAGGATAACCAGGAGTATGTGCGGACTCTTTATGACTTCACTGGTAGTGATGCAGAGGACCTTCCCTTCAAAAGGGGTGAAATTTTGGTCATTCTGGAGAAGCCAGAGGAGCAATGGTGGAGCGCAAAGAACAAAGATGGCCGCGTTGGCATGATTCCTGTGCCCTATGTAGAGAAAGTGGTACGACCTTCACCCCTGCCTGGCCAGCCTTCACATGGCTCACGTAACTCCAACAGTTATGGAATCCCCGAGCCGTCCAATGCCCTGGTCCATGCGTACGCTCAGCCCCAGACGCCCTCTCCTCTGCCGGGCACACCTGGACCTGTCATCACCCCACTCCCATCCCTGCAGAACGGCCCTGTCATGGCCAAGGCCATCCAGAAACGAGTGCCCTGTGCCTATGATAAAACTGCACTTGCTTTAGAGGTATTGTATTTGATAGTTTTGTGTGTCATATGCTAAATTTCTATAACGTCTGTAAAACATGCTTGCTCTGTCCTTGGGTTTCAGAATGATACAAAATTAGGACAGTGGCCCTAGAGATTATCAATATAAAACAAATTTGAATAGGAGGAAGTGGTAACCCATGACAGCTGTACTTGTAATGATAACAATAATGCCATACATCTCTATATTGCCTTTCTAGAGATCGTGACTTCTGTCACTATTCAATCCATACACTCTTCAGTGGTAAGTCTTTAGTCACAGCTGCACTAGGCTCGACTGGAGTGAGCTGTGAACTGTTGAATGCTCTACTGTACCACTCTTATTCACTACACTAAAATGGCTTTGCCTGCTCATAAAATGGCTCAAAACACAGTCCACAGAATAAAGTTTTCATTGACTAGTTGGTGCTGTTGTGGATGGATGACATGTTGGGCAATGCCGTGTCCAGTATTTGCCATCTTACATGATTTATCTACTAAGAGCACTAGTTTCATTAGCAGGCCTGAGCTGCTCTTGGTGTGGTGGTGGGTGAAGTGTTGCAGAGTAATGCAGGTCTGTGCGGCTGAGGGCTCATGTTGAAACATGTAAGGTAATGCACAGTAATGCATTTATATACTGGGGCCACAGGGGGATCACTGTAACACTGGCCTGAGTACTTTCAGAGTACAACACCTCTCATGATTAGTAATATTTAAATCATCATCTTTGCTTAAAATACAGCAGTTCTCACCAAGTGCCAGTGGCTCAGTCTTCACACATATTAACTAAAGAGATCTCAGTGCTTTGACTAAACACACCACCCACCTTACCTTGAAGTGTGAAGCCACCCATATGACAGTCTAATGACATATACAAGACTTACTGCTCAATCTTCAGTGTTAAGGCAATTAAACATTGGGAGTGACTGGAAAGGCTTATTACATAATAGTGGTGTATATATATTGTGATTGTGATACTAGTGTTTGTTAAGCAAATGATCTGAAAGTTTTATAGTGGGTGAGTGTGTAAGATCATGTAGTTAGAGTATATATTTAGTTTTGCTTTGCTGTTGGCCTCTACATTGTGAGTCTGGTATCTGCTAAAGGTGAAGTGTGGGTCTGTCCCATTAGTCTTGCACCATGTTTATGAAGCTTGTCTTGCTCTTTTGTATAAAATTAGTTAAAGGCCTTCAGGTTGTGAATTCCTCAATGTGCCTGAAACCCTGTTGTGAAAGTGAAGTTGTGTATAGTGGCTTCAATCATGACTTGTTCTCTCTAATCCTGTATATAGAGCATATGGCTTAAACGGATTGGGGTCACTTTCAGTGCCACAAAGGTTTTAGTTCTTTGAAAGCAGAAGAAAATTCTATTTAATTTCCTGTTTCCTCACTACAAATAAAAAAAAAAGGTGAGATCTGCCTGTGACTTAACACATTTGTTTGACAAATGATTTGTTCAAAGTGCACTATGGCACTTTTGTGGCTGTGGTTGTCTGATGATGAAGTTAATACCATACTGCGGAACATTAGCTACAGGTATGTTGCATTTTTTAATTTACAGGTATGACTTAAAAGACAGATTGTTTCTATGAAAAGGATTGTCTCTTCACAGATTTGACCTGCTGTAACTTGGCCTTGTGATGGCACCTGCTTGTCTCCTTGGATTATAAATTATAGAGTTTAATGCTGTACTGTAGAACATTTAATGAAAAGCAGTAACCTCTCCATGGTTACACTTTTTTTGTCCCCTCCCCCAGAAATGTTACTCAGTGCACTTTATAAGTGTTTGTAGTATCTTGTATTTTTCAAAGTTAGACTCAACACCTAAACTCCTCCCACAACCACATTTCAAATAAAGCTGCTTACTGGGGTAGTACCTAGGGGACTAAAAAGGGAGTCGGCTGGTGAGGTTTGGGGCTGTAAGGAACACGCCCCCGCCACCAGGTGTTGGTAATCAGACTCACTTGGCTGTGGTCAGAGCAGTCCTGCGTGATGTCACATAGTACTTGAAATCGCTGTGGCCACTGGAGGCAGCACACACACAGTTTTTGACCAGAAAGCTGCAAATATACCTAGTTTGTTCTAAAATTGACAAAAAAAGGACTAAGAATAGTAGACAAAGCTATTAAAACCCCATACACAGAGAGCAAAAGTTTATTTAGTGTCCAGTTCCACTTGGATAACTTCTTTTCTTTGGTTCTATGTTACCGCTTTGTCAACTCTTGGATGTAGACTCACCATGTTGTGCCCTCTCCCCTCTATCGCAGGTGGGCGACATCGTGAAGGTGACGCGGATGAACATCAACGGCCAATGGGAGGGCGAGGTGAACGGGCGGAGGGGGCTCTTCCCTTTCACCCACGTCAAAATCCTGGACCCACAGAACCCAGACGAGAGTGATTGAGCACAAGCACACGTCCCGCCCGTGAAGCACCCGATCCCCGCCGGCCCCCGCTCCACCTCGTCCCCCCCCACCGTCACCATGGATACGTGCTTGCCATGCTAAGGGGCTGCTGTGCCATGACCTTCCTCTTGTTGCCTGGCGTCGCGAGGCTTTCAGACTGTTTACAGCTTTGGGGCATTGGATCCAAACTCATTTCTGGTCCCGCTCCTCTACTCCTCTCTTTCTGAGTTGTTTTCGAGTTTGTGTCCTGTTGAGTTCTCATTCTCTGGGCATACGAGTGACTGTATAGTGTAAGTGCATGTCTGCGTGTTCACTATAGATATTTACAACTTCACATTACAACTTGTCTTTTTTTTTTTTTTTTTTTTTTGAATTTTTGTCTCAGCATCTGTTTCATAAAGACTTAAACGCCTGGCTACATATACAGATATTATAATAAATGCATGTTTTTCTATCGGCCTTGGCTGTTTCTCCACAGAATTCTGAATGTTGGCATTTTGAGGACTTTTTAAATAATTGTTAATCGCTATGGCAACTATCCTTATTTATCATAATGCTGAAACCCATGGGTAAAACTCCAGCACAGATTGGAGCTTAATGCAGTCATTATTGCAGTAGAATCATTTTAGGAGTAGGTTAATTAACACGCAAAATAATTACAATTACATCTGTCTAAATAGATTAATCACTTGCTGTTGATACTAAATGAATAATGATGCAGCAGTGTTTGCGATGTGACTAGAATTCTATGTTATTTATTGTTGCGTTTAGTAGTTAACCCACAAAGTGTGAACTGAAACGTGCGTCAAAAATACCTGTATGTGTAGCCGGGCTTTCAGAGAGCTAGTGTGGTATATGAAATGGGGTAAATATGGAGCTAACTAGGCAGTCAAATGCCGTTCACTGTGCGTCTCCACTCGGACAGAGAGAGTTTATCAGCGTTTTTTAATGTGTACGTGAGGTGTGACTGGCGTGAACACATTGGTAACACTTGGCAATAGCTACACTTTAATTTGCTGTCATAAAGCACGAAGAAAGACTAGGGCTGCGTTTTTTCCGACAAGCTTTCCGATTGTGATAAGCTTTGGGATTTATTTATGTTTTGATAATGGGATTCTGTTCAAAGTTCACATTTTAAACATGTCTCACACAAAGACTGAAATATGAATGGACAAACTCCCGTATTTTCCGAGCTATTGGGCGCGTTCTCAAGCCTCCAACCCCATGAAAAAACAACTGCGCCCCACAATCCAGAGCGCCCTACACACAAATCCACTCTGGTGTCCCAGCACGACTTCAGTAAACTGCAAACACGCACAGAGCAGACGGAGACCACGCAGCGAAACACACCCGCAGCCACACTCATCACTCCACGCGGACGAGGAATGGAACGGAGGAACGAACCGAAAAAAGCGAGTGCAATGTGCCACTTCTAGACACAACTGAACAACTGTGAACACGCCAACAATCCAGCGGTCCCAGACAGCACCCTCCCTACGCGCCACAATTGACCAAAGCTGAGAGTCACCGTGAACGCCCCAAACAAAGTCCGACTGACCCATCTAACTGTTGTGTTTCGTTTAAAGTCCGGTGCAGTTTATTTGTGAAAAAAGTTCGAAAATAAATCATTCTATGACAGTGCACCTTATAATCCAGAGCACCTAATAGTGCGGAAAATACTGTAATACAAGAATCACAGTATAGGGTTACTTTAAAAATTGCAGCCATTTTTGTTTGGTAACTGTGTCCATTCAGATTGTAATGTTGATTTGATTTGACTTAATTGGTAATGAACACATAGTTTAATAAGAATGATTCAGGTTTATATCTTAACGCCTAACCTTAAAACCTTAATTAAGTTGGGTACTCTAGCCCACTAATGAATCTAACCCAGTTACTAAGCCTCAATCATTCTTAATAAACTATTTGTCCATGATGAAGTATTTCTTAAGGCTTTTTTTAAGGTGTAGTTATTATGAAGTGTTACCAACTTTCTTTTTGTTTGACCTCACAATCCTCTTTTCCTACTTGATTTGCCTGATTACACTTTCAAAAAGCAACCACCGCCATTTGTGATTTTAACTTTCATTTTAACTGTGCCACATGATCAATTTGTGTATTTTATTTCTGAAACTGAAAAGCCTTAGCGGCCATTTGCATGTATATTGGGGTACCTCCAACATACAAATGGACATTGCTTTGAGATTAGCGGGTTTTAGTGCCAACAGAGCCAAGCACTAGCAGCAGATACATTTTAATACGTTGAATAGGAGTGCCAAGCTGGCAAAAAAACCTACAACGGCGCTCGCTTGCACTTCTCACAGAATGCACAACGCAAGCTAAAAACGCAACGGGATTCGTGAACCGGGTTGGACGAAAAATATCCAGTCAATGCCTTTTTTTTTTTCCCCGAGATGCAATTTTTAGCGCATGCAGTCCCCTGTTTTAATTTCCTCATTGTGATGTATGATTGTGGTTGGTTTTATTCCTTACACTTGTGGTTTCAAAGTGAACAAGTGGAAGATTTCAGCTGCCTCTTAACCACTCGTTTTCGGAGAGATAAAGGAGCTACTCGATCCGTGCTACTTTTCAACCTCGTGATCCAATCCAGTCTCTCGTTTGGTGATGATGTGTTGTTTTGACCCGGACAGGGAGCAGTTGTCAGTTCCTTTTTGAGGTGACATTTTGAAAAGGGAAAATGCCTGCTGGGTGCCTATGTGCATGACCTCTTGGCTGGGGAGATGGCTTCTTCTTGGCCAAAATGCTGCTTTATGTCATTGTATTCTATGAAATTAATGTTTTTTTTTTCCTCATGTAACACCTGTCAGTCTGTAATATGAACAGCATCGGGTTCCTCAGTACAAGTCGACTAATTAAGCAATACATTTCGTTGTTATCTGGAGGTGAACTTGCTTTGTCATGCTTCAAAGTTTGTTTTATAATGGCATTAACAGTATTACTGTGCTCTTGCTCATTCTAGGAAAGCCTGTCTTTTACTTAAAGGGCCTATATTACGCAAAATGGACTCCCGTGAGCTTTTAGCCATGTTAGAATGTTGTTACCAAATCCAAAACATACCTCGAGTTGTATTTTGTTTCATTCATACATTGTTTGGGTTGTCCTGCATTAATGGGCTGCCTACATTTCCGAACCTCAAAATGTTCTGTTCCACCTCGTCATGTGGTAGTTTTAAAGTTAATAGCTTTTTTTTTTTTTTTGCCTGATTTGAACTGCTTTACTCTGCAATACACTATAATCTTAAGTTGTTTTTGTTTTAACTTTTGTTCAGTCAGGACACACAGAAAGTCCAAGTTTCAGGGCTGCAGATTTTCAAATGATTCTGTTGAAGGTGTATGGAGTTTAAAAACACAGACCGCCGCTTGATGACATCACAAGGTGGAACAGTGTTTTTCAGTTTGAGTGGAGAACACAGCAGGATTTGTGTGTTAAACATGTGTGAATGAAACAAAACACTACTCCAGTTATGTTGTTGACGAGGAAACAAGATTATAACATACATCATAAATTAGCATAATATAGGCCCAGAATTGAAAATCGTGCCTTTTATTTTCTTATACCATTTAAACATGTGTTAATATTTTCCATGGTTAACACCTGTGCTGGTATTGACCCTTTATGTACAGAACAAGTAAATAAAGTTTATGTCTACTTCTTTAGCCCGACCTCCTGCATGTTTTTGTGTAGCGTTTGGGGTTGTCAAAAGTATCGAAAATCAGATATTAATCACTACTAAAACTAGTTTGTATTTGTGTCAAAATCCAGTTTGAAATTTTAGTATTGTGACAACACTAGTAGCGTCTGGTCTTATTTTATCTGGAACATTTTTCTTGGTCCCATTTCTGACAGTTCCAGTTCTGACTCGGACTGCGCCCAGGAGATAGGAGGCAATTACTGAATTTTAATGAAGTTCTAATAAAAGAACGTCAGCTGACCTCCAGATGGGACACCAAAGTTTTCAAGGGCAGCGGCTCACATGGCCTCTCCCCCGAATCTAATTTATTCTGCACCAAAGACAAGCTAAAGTCGGTAGATTGTAATGAATTATGCAACATTTGGCATACATTTGTAACATAAAATTTAACAAAAATATAACAATTTTACACGACAGCAGAGGCAGGTAGAGTAGCAAAAACTGTATTTCTTCTTGAGCATTGCTATTTTGAAGTAACGTTTACTCTGATTTGAGTACAAAGTAGTGATCCAAAAAAGTGTAAAAATAAAAATGTATTTAGGAAAACAACTACTCAACTTAAATTTATTTAACATCTGATCTTTAATTTACAGTTAGTGTAATTTGAATTGTAAAATGTTAAATAATGCACAAGTTATTTTCATAAGATAGAAACAAAAAGAGAAATACTAAATAATTTCTGAAAGAGCGGTGAAAAAACCACAAATGTTGAAACAATGAAGCTTTTGTCACTTGTCAGACACAGTGGGAACAGTAGCCAAATCTATGACTCAAGTATGAGTACTGTTACTTCAATAAAAATAAGTAAAGGTACACTGCTACAAAAGTACACAAGTAAATGTAATTGATAATGACGAATGAGTGAACATTTTTGTTGATATATTTGAATCATTGTGAAATAGAAAGAGAATAGAAATGCCTAAATTTGTGGATTAATTATTTCAGTCAGCACATTTTTTACCATGACGTGATTCAAATGATATACTACATATGGTAAAGACACGATAGAATTTATTTTGACAAGCTATTAGGATGGAAGTATAAAAAATGAGATACCGAGTGAATCTAAATTTAGAATCGAAACTAGTTGACTCATTTCAGGAAGTTTCAATTCTGAAAAAGTGACATTTAAAGAACAGAACCTTTCCTAAACAGCTTCAGAAAGATCTTGAGCTGTATCAGACCAAATGTAAGACCACAGTGACACACTACGGAACCTACCCGGATATACACAGACCACATCGTAATATAAAACAAAATACTATTATTCAGTGTTGAAATGTTGTCATGGGATCAGAATCAGTATGGAGTATTGAATCTACTGCTTAAATCTGAAATGTTTGCATCATGACACTTTTGGGTAGAGGAGTTCAACTTCTCTTTTCTGTGTGAAGGTGATTTACATACAAGATACACATGAATTTTACACCATTCAAATGTAAATCAACTTCTGCTGTTTGACACGTTTACTATTTCCCCCAGGGTAATGTATTAGTCTGACACATAGGAAGAGTTTCACTGTAAGTATTATTTGAACCCTTTTACTTCAGCATTTGATCTGTATCCTCTGGCAGTGGCTCACTCCAAGTACCACTAAAAAAAAAAAAGATTTGGTTTTCCGAGTATCACCAGATCTAAACTAGGTCTGGAATTTCCCCATTGCGGGACAAATAAAGGCTCTCTTATCTTGTGTTATCTTATCTGTCTACGCAAGACTATTCCAGGTCTCAAAGTGGACTACATCATTTCCACTGTAGTTCTAAACAAGAAATGATCCAAGCGTAACACTGCTATATGGCACACGTTTATATAAATCTTATATTTTTAAAGAGGGAGTATTACACTTCTGTGGAATATTTGGAAAACACATAACATTTAGATCACCATGTTGCCTTTAATTGTTTGGAAAATGTTATATAGTGCAAAAGCAATGTATTAACATGTTTAATACTTTCACTTTCATTTTTGATGCTCCGTGTTCTCCCCCGCGCTCTTCCTTCACATTACAGTCTCTAGGTTTGTGGGCTGAGCACTGCACAGAATCTTACAACTAATCGTAAGAAGGGTTCAAATAGGGCCCAGGAGTGATCGCTAGATTACTCATACATGCATGCATAAAACTAGCCAGGTTGGCGCCACCTAGTGCCTCTACTCAATTTAATTTCTCTCCAGCGACTAGGTCAGGAATCGGAATACACTAGACGGTTCGCAAAAACTGAAGAGTGAGTTCGGGCACCAGCCAATCAGCGAAGAGCCATATATTGTGTGTTGTCAACGATTCCCGAGATCGAGGATTTAAAGCCGGAACAAAGAGAATGTTTGGTGAATTTCATCAAGGAGAAAGACGTTATTGCCCTTCTTCCTACGAGATTTGGGAAAAGCTTAATATACCAGTTAGCCCCGTTAGTGTAAGTACTCATTGTTACTGCCCCATGCCTACAGTTCTTTGAGTTTTGTGTGTGTTTTAATTCCATTCTTGTCCCCATGGATCCTGCTGTGGGAGCCCTTGTTCGTGACTAGTGGAGCGCCTTTACACCTGGCCAATCCTGCCTCACCTCCAGCCTCCTCCCCCCAGTTAAGAACATCGCCATCACCTGTTTGGGGCTGCTGGCCTTGGTGACCAGTATGCCATTTTGTGTTTGTGTTCATGTGTGTAGTTCTGTAGTTTAGTTCTGTTTTGTGGTGTCTTTTTAATTTGGGTTTGTGGGTTTATGTGTGTTTAATTTGGGAAACTTGTGTTTTAGTTTAGTCCCTTAGTTTACCACTTGTTTATGTAAGTCTGCATGACCTGTTTTGTGGCACAAAACTCGTCTGTTTTTTTGTTTCTTAGTTTAGAGTATTTTCTGTATATTTTAGTCTGTTTTGTTAATTTACTTTTTACACCCTGTTAACTAAACATGATTTAATTTATTCCATTTTCCATCTTGGTTATTTTTGTTGCTTCCCTGACCCCAACGAGCCGGGTCATAACACCCGCCTACCGTCAAGTAAACAAATCCTAATGCTGAGAGGTCAGACCATTTCTACATAGTGAAACCTGCTGATGAATCAGGCTAGTATAAAACCTCTTTAGACATGTTTTTGATGAGGGAACGTTGCAACATAGTGGAAAGCTCCAGAAAGTCAAATTTGCATTTCTCAAAGGTATTTAACTAATTTAATTTTTATTTTAAGTACTGTATTATTTAAAAATCCATACTGTTACACTGGTTTAGAGTTTGTTTGTTTTTTGTTTTTTTCAACTCTTTTTCTAAATTCTTGACTCACAGCATCCCAAACAGGGTTCAGTTTTTTCATTCAAAATAAAAAAATATATATATTCAGATTTTACCATCAAAACTCTCAGACTGTGGTCATGTGTTTTTCTTTGCTCTTTCATTCATCTGACAGAGCAGCTTAGAAGCTTAGTCCTGCTCTCAGGGACCACAGAGGATCAACAGTTTAGTGCAGACTGTCATTGGGGGTTTACACACGGGAATTTAGAGCTGGAAAAGCTGTGTTTTTTTGGTGCTCACAAATTGTATTTTTTTCCCGTATTCTGTCTGAATTTCCATACTGAAAGTGACAGAGTTTGGGCCAGTGTCCTTGAGAGTAGTTTTGAAAAACAAGCTGGATTCACTGATCATGTGTGTTTGTGAATGAGACCTGAAAACTGAGTGAACTGATGGGAAATGTTCCAAATGTTGTGACCCCTGCGTCTCTGAATCCTTGTATCATTTGTTCAGTCATTTTACGATATAAAATCAAAAATAAGAAAATGAAAAAACAACTATTTTCTTCATTATTTGTCTCCAAAACCAAAATGAAAAAAACAGATAACAATTCTTTTTTTCAGTTTTCAAATTTGTGTTTAAATGAATAATGGAAAAAACAAATAATGAGGTTTCCCGTTTACACGACTTAAACTGCGATGCCGGACTGAACCAGGACTAAACCAGGACTAAATCAAGACAGAACCAGGGCTAAACTGGTCTCAGTCCTGGTCTTGGTCCCGGTCTCAGTCCCATTCTCATTTCTGGTCTCAGTCTCCGTCTCAGTCCCCATCTCAGTCCTGGTCTTAGTTCTGGTCTCGGCCCCGGACCGGTCCCGGTCTCAGTCCTGGTCTCAGTCCCTGTCTCATTTCTGGTCTCAGTCCTTGTCTGGGTCCGGTCTGGTCCCGGTCTCAGTCCCCGTCTCAGTCCTGGTCTGATCCCAGTCTGGTCTCGGTCTCAGTCCCAGTCTCAATTCTGGTCTCAGTCCTGGTTTTAGTTCTGGTCTGGTCCTGGTCTAGTCTTGGTCGCAGTCCCGGTCTGGGTTCGGTCTGGTCCCGGTCTCAGTCCCCGTCTCAGTCCTGGTCTGATCCCAGTCTGGTCTCGGTCTCAGTCCCAGTCTCATTTCTGGTCTCAGTCCTGGTCTTAGTTCTGGTCTGGTCCTGGTCTGGTCTCGGTCTCAGTCCTGGTCTCAGTCCTGGTCTCATTTCTGGTATCAGTCCCGGTCTGGTCTCGGTCTTAGTTCTGGTCTCAGTTCTGGTCTCAGTCCCTGTCTGGTTCTGGTCTGGTCCTGGTCTGGTCCCGGTCTCAGTCCCCGTCTCAGTCCTGGTCTTAGTTCTATTCTTAGTTCTGGTCTGGTTCCAGTCTGTTCTCAGTCTCATTCCTGGTCTCAGTCCTCGTCCTGGTCTGGTCCCGGTCTCGGTCCTGGTTTAGTCCTGGTTCAGTCCGGGATCGTAGTTTAAGTCACGTAAACGGGAAACGGTTGTTATTCGTTTTTTCCATTATTCATTTAAACACAAAATCAAAAACTGAAGAAATGAATCGTTATCCATTTTTTCATTTTTGTTTTGGAGACAAATAAAGAAGAAAATAGTCGTTTCTTTCATTTTCATATTTTTGATTTTATTTTGAAAAACGAATGAACGAATGATACAGGGACGGATTCCTCTGTTTAGATACAAAAGATCGAACCAACGCATCAAGTTTTAAACGCCAA